GCCTTCCGTCCGCCGGATATCACCCCGGGGAAATTGTTCAAGATAGGCCCCAAAATTGACTGGCAGTTGTTGCCGAGCGTATTCCTCCTTGATAGCAGTAAATTCATCAGAGGATTTAAACACATCCCGAACGGCGGACAGATCCACATCAATTTCAGTAGGACCGTCCGGGATGCGAGGGGGCGTTTCTGCAAACCTAACCTGAACGGCCTCAGCCACAGAAACTTTAGCCTGGGCAGTGGCCAGTTGAACTCGAAGTCTGCCCAGCTCATTCTCGAACCCCTGCCTCTCTTCCGCAAAAACCTTCCGTTCGGCCTTAGAATTTTGAAGGGCAGCAGTAAGAGCTTGTTCGTCTGAAGTCTGAGCAACGATCAGATCCCGTTCCTTGGCCAACCGGGCCTCCCTCAGCTGCAAGCTGTATAGCCCCACCTACAGAATTCCGTTCGAGAAATGAGATGATATAGAACAAAGGGTAAACATATGAAACAAATTATAGGGGAAAAAATAAAATACCTTTAAGGTCGCTAAAGCCAGACACTCCTCTGCCTGATCAATCGGCAGTTGAGGGACGGTGAAGTTATTAAAGAAAGCAGAAGTGGACTAGACTTGGCTCGCAGAACATCCAACTTTCTTCAAAACTTCATGAACGGGATCTGCCAGAGAGATCCGTTCGACCCGGCCAGAGAGATGAACGGTGTGGGTTTCACCCACATCTATACTGGCATCATGAGCAGCCAAAAAATGCTCAGTAAAATGATGCAACTGATCGGACTCAAACCGGCCGTTGATCAACATATCTTCAAGTTGGTCCTGAGGGGGAACCTGCTGAATGGGCTTAGGCTCCTGAATGGGCTGCGAAGACCCGACATCCTGATGAGTGGCAGTGGAAGGATTGGCCTTGGGGTTCTTTTTTGCTTTCTTCCTTTTTCCCACCCCACCGGCTGCTAACACGCGACTGTTATCCATGGAAGCGTCTGGATTGGGAACTGAAAAATGAAAAAGGAAAATATTAGCATCGAACGGTCTTATCACGTGGGAAACGAAGGGGATCAGAATGTTTCTCGCACGGGAAGGACCGCCCGGCCCATGGCACTTGGTTTTCAATCAAGTAAACCCAAGAATACAGGCAATACCTATCCCGACTTTAACGAGCTGGTCAGGAGTCAGGTATGTTATGATATTGCAGGTTTTGGCCTCCTCCAAAGCAAAAACATCCTTACAGATCGTCTCAGTGAGAATCGGATCCGATGACTTACGAGGGAAGGCGTTCCATTTATTTGGGATCAGACCGTCCGGGGCAGAAACAAAAAAAAACCGCTCTTTCCACCCCTTAATTGAGGTAAGGTTGCCCTTAAAAAGTATATGTCCCGTTCGAGCAGTTGCGGCTAAATATCCATGAGTCTGTTGGGGGGCTACTTTAAAGAATTGATGGAATAAATCTAAAGTAGGTGTAACCTTAACATCTACACAACGGCAAATAAAGCCAGCCATCACCCGATAGGAGTTCGGCATGACTTGGGCTGGTACGATTTCGTAGAAATTTAAAAGAGAAACAAAAAAGGGGCGCAATGGGAATCTAAGCCCAGCCTTAACGGAATCCAAGTCCACTACAACCATCCCAGGGAGATGGCGCATTGGGTGAAGCCCAGCCCGCAACCGAAAATTCACTGAGTCTGGAATTAGGGCCGGGCTTTGGGCCCTATTGTGAGAGGTCCATTTCTGCCGCCTTTCTCTAATCAGCCTTAGGTCAATCTTGTAACGAGGAACATCATTCATGGGTCCAGCCGCCATGGAAGCAAGTTCGTCACGAGACTGTGTATCATCGGAATCATCATCATCAGAAGAAGAACCGGCGGAAGAATCCTCTGCCTCCGCCCTATTATTTTCCGCCGCCTCATTGGTGCCTTCAACGAAAGGAACATGTATGATGTCCACTATGGCGGCATCTTGATTTTCCCCTTGGGAAGCCATTCTTGAATCCGAGGAGCAGGATCGAGGACACATATCGATCGAGGCAGAAAAAGTGGAGGAAGAAAGGTAAAAAAACGGGAAATACATGAACTCGAAAAAGCTTGAAGAAACTGGAGAGAAGGCAGAACAAGGGTTCGAAGGAAATGAGAATTCAAAACCCATATCCAAGGATTTCAAGGCCCATTTATAGCTTGGCAGGCGTCGAATCAATAACCAATCAGAAGAAGACACATCACCTGGATTATTTGAAAGGACACGTGTCACACAGGAGATCAAGGGCCAGTAATCATGACGATCATGGAAAAAATCAAACGGCAACCACAAGAAAGGTACTAATCATGACATGGGGAACCGGCGCATTCTGGATCTCGATCACCATTCGGCGTGTAAAGTTCTACTTCCCAATGCACTCACTACTGTTCGAGACATCGGAGGTGGGGGACTCGTGTTGGGATATTGGGCCGAAGGCCCAATACCTGGATCCAAAGGCCCAATATATCCAGTCCGTTAAACGAGACCAGAATCTAGAAGATGAACAGGCTCATGGAGAAATATGTACCGAACGGGGTTCAGGTCAACCAATGTACTTGGGCCAGATCAATGATGATTCCAGAAGATGAACTACTTTCCTAAATCTATTACGGAGTATTTATTTTATTACTAAAATATTTTTAATTTTTTTCTTCGTAATTGTTTTCATAAACTTCAAGTCTTCAATAGATTGACCGAAGTTTCAGCATTAATAAACGGATTTATAGATTCACTTGATGTTGATTGGGCTCATACACAATGTGTCTAGTAGACCTGTACAAAAACGGGTTCGAGCCGGGCTCGGTCCGGACTTTTTATAAATTTTATGCCCATCATGTGTGGGTGGGCCTGACCCGGCCCACAAAAATGGGCCTAACCCTATGTCCATACCCGCCCATAAGAGCGGCCCGGGAAAACTTTATTTTTTTCAAAATTATATGATTTTTTAAATACTTTAAAAATAATATTACAACATTTAAAAAATAATTAATACGCTTATAATGTTTATAGGTCTTTCATCACTGTTGGGATATTGGGCCGAAGGCCCAATACCTGGATCCAAAGACCCAATATATCCAGTCCGTTAAACGAGACCAGAATCCAGAAGATGAACAGGCTCATGGAGAAATATGTACCAAACGGGGTTTAGGTTAACCAATGTTCTTGGGACAGATCAATGATGATTCCAGCAGGGTCCACTACCCGTTCGGGCAGTGGGTAGCCAACAAGTGGCAGGGAGCATTTATTGCTAAAGTATGGCGGCAACAAGTGGGAGTATGGACTTAAAGTGGCCGGATTAGCAACCAATTAGCATGGAGCACCCCATACCCCCATTAGTATAAATAGAAGGATTAATTTCATTGTAAAGGGTTAGCTTCTTGATACTCAAGGTCTAGAATATATTTATCTCTCTTATTTTTTTAATTAGTCACTATTCCGATGTACCGTTCGAGGAATTTACTGTGTAATCATCAAATTAGTTAATACAAGGGGGCTTTTGAGTATTCGATTATTCATCTTTTATATTTCTTTATACACGTGATTCTTGACCCATTTTCCTGATATATCTAAAGTTCGTGTTGGGCTTTCGGATCTGCGGGACTAAACCTCAACAACCACATACAAAAACAATACTTACACAAAAATAATAATGAGAAACTATATCTAAAATTTAAAATTTAAGCACAAAGTATTATCTTTAAGTATAAAATAGATATTATATTGGTTGGGCTAGTTGTTAAGAACTAAAAATTTAAATTTAAACATAATAAACTATGAATATGTATAAAGAAAAATTAGTAAATATAAATATACATGTGTAAATGCAAATAAATAAATAAATTAGTATATATATATATAATATATATATATATATATATATATATATATATATATATATATATATATATATATATATATATATATATATATATTTATATATACTAAATGTAGCGGGCCGGACATATCGGCCCGAACGGGCCTACACCCTAACCCAAGCTCACCCATATCTTATTGCGGGCCGGGCTCGGGCCAGCCCGGTGGGTAAATCTATATGCCCAAGTCCACCCATTTGTGCGGGCGGGCTGGGCGGCCCGACCCGATTTTGTCCAGGTCTAGTATCTAGTTGATTTGTGACTATGTCAATATCTAACCCAATGAATCTAATTATTTAAACACAGGTCAACCAACAATTTTGTTGTCACCTATTTTCCTTGGGCAACCAGGATAGTCAGGCCGTGGCAACCGGTGGAGGAGCTCTGGCGAGTCGCGGCGACGTGAAACTGGTTAATAATCCAATATGGTAATTTTGGCCGGATGCCGGCGGTTGGTGGCTGGCGGGGCAGCTGGTCGGAGGGTGACAATGGTAGTTGGACTTGGACCAGACAGTCCAAAAATTACAAGAGTATATTTGTCCAAACATACATAATTAGTAATGGGAGAACTATCAAATAAGCCATCGAATTTTCATAAAAAGTGCAAATAAGCCCTTTTAAAGGAGGCTTTGTCCGGCTATCGCCATTTGGGGCGGTTTACGGTAGAATTCTTTGATGAAATTTTTTGAGCATCTTCTTCATTAAGTCTAGTTTACCCGTACTAAATTTCAACAAAAAATTCAATCGAGAAGGCAGTCAAATGATTTTCTGAAATATATTGCGCTGTCTAACTGCGCAGTTATCTTCAAAAATTCATTTGACTGCCTTCCCGATTGAATTTTTAACTAAAATTTGGTATGAATAAACTAGACTTAATGAAGTAGATACTCAAAAAAAATCATCAAAAAATTCCACCTGGAACCATCCGAAATGGCGACTGCTGGACAGAGCCTCCTATAAAAGAGCTTATTTGCACTTTTTATGAAAGTTCGAGAACTTATTTGATAGTTCTCCCAATTAGTAATACATAGACAATGTAACTATTTTTAACCGTATTTTATTCTGATTTAGGTAATTAATATTTTTTTCATGAGAATCGGAATCAGAAAAAGAAACACATTCTAGAACGTTGGTGCTCCACTAAGAAACGGATGGAGTGCGCAGAGAGATAGCCAGACTTGGTAAAAAAATAATTAAATAATAAATAATTAATCCGTAATAAAGAGGAAATTCCTGAAGCTAGAATTGGGGTGGGAAACTGGGAATAGAAGCCCCGGTCGGCCGTAGTGGTGAGAGTGGTCCCCACTGCCCGATCGGGAAGTTCATCTCGTTAAGCCCAACAAAGGTCTCCTCAATTTCATGAACATGGGTTTCTAATTACATTTGCTCTCACTTTTTGAGTAGAGTTTTGTCTGGGAGTAGTAGGGCTTTCTCCGGCAGAATCCCGTTTCTGGTAATTTTTTTAGCCTCACTGTTTTTATCGGTTTCTGGGCATTTGAAGGGTTAATTATTCTCCTACGAATTTGAACTCTTATGTAAAAAAAATGTATTTTTTGTTGTTGTTGGGGATAGTGATTAGGAGATTAGTTTTGAATTTCCAGTTGATTTGATTCGAGGCAAGGGAAATGAGAGAAATGATTCATTGTTGGAAGGTTGTCTTCAACTTGGTGCTTTTGCTAAATGGTATGGAGTATTTTTCTTATCTTCCCTCAATTTCGTGTCTGATCCTGTTCAGCATTGTACTGTGAAAGTGTGAATTAGTGAATTTTCCTGGTGATAAGAGATTAAGACTCTTGGCAATGTTTATCTATTCTACATGTGTGTGTGCATGGATTAAAAAAATTGCAGTAGCAACATATTTTTTTAGCTTAAAACAGAAAATCGCGAAAAGGTTGGAGTTTCTACTTTTAATGATTATATAATGCAACCCTTTGTAATCTTGATCTCTCTAGTCTTGCATTCTTCCAACTCAAATGTGAATGCGGCTTGGACATAGCCTTCATGTATGGAATCACAATGCTTTAGGACTTTAGGTGTAAACACTGTGAAGCCCAATTTAGTGGAGAAATAACTAAATGTAATATATTCTAAAGGGGTTGTTTCTTCAACTCTTCTCCAGTTTTTACAACACCAAAGGCATTTCATACAGAAGATTCTTTTGAGCAGTGTGAACACACAGTCAAAAAGTGGGCATCTTCTTCCCTTGAATCAGAAATCAACAAAGAAAATCATCTGCTGAGAGACTTGCTATTTTTCCTTCACGTTCCCAGGACAGGAGGAAGGACTTATTTTAGCTGGTAAACTTCTTAATCTTCTCATCCATTTTATTGCAAAGCCTGCAAGACTTCATATGCTCACATGAAATGTCATCTTATTTTCTATTTCAGTTTCCTTTCTTTTCATTCTCATCTTGCAGTTTCCTCAAAAAGCTATATGCTAATTCTTTGGAGTGTCCACGCTCCTATGATAAGTTGAGGTTTGATCCCAGGTAATAGATTTTGCTTTCCTTGTACAACTACTATCCTCTTTATTCAATTTGTTGGCACCACTTTTATATTTGATAGACTCATGGAGATCATTTTCAGTCCTTATAGTTCTCCTTGGGAAGCATTGTGTGACGAACTTCTTGATCTTGAGATGCTATATTAGTTTTTATTGAATTAGAAAAGGGTTTGGAATCCCTTAATGAGTTATCATAGCCTTCGGTAGCATTGGGCTAATGCTTGCTCAGGTGTTTGGTGGTTTGGCTATTTTTAGCATCATTGCACCTGATTATGGTCAAATATAAAGATAACATTAATGGTTGAAACATTTCAGAAACATCAAGACATTTGTGTAAATTTACAATACCAATATGAAAAGTAGGTAAGGCATTCTTCCCTGATATTTAGGATATTTTTGAAAATATCCATATCCATACCATTTATGTAGCTTGTAGTCTCTAGAATCAAATTTCAAGTTCTTGTAGAAATACATGAATTTTCCTGAAATTCTCATAACATATCTGAACAATATCTAAATAATATCACTTTCATTAATATATTTTATTAAAAAGGTGTTATATATATTTATCATCTTCTAAACTTTAGTATGTTCTACTCCTACTTACTTAATTCTGCGCCACACGTGTCTCAAGTCCATTCCGTTAACAAACATCTCCATCAGTCCATGCACACACGCCAGCATTTATTTGTAGTTTTTCTCAAGGGTTCGCGTGCATATTTTATCCTTTTATTTCATATTGACTTGACGTTTTGTCCTCTTTGAACATTATTATTTGTGTTTTTATTTCTACACTTCATGTTTTTGTGCTTCTGCAGTATTGATCTATGATTATGAATTATCTATTTTACATACTCCCTCTGTCCCATAAAATAGTTCTCACTTTCCTTTTTGGGCAGTCCCAAAAAATAGTTGCCATTTATGTTTCTGGAAAGTTTTGTGTGGCTACAATTCGTTTACCTTTTTCTTACTCAACCACACCCATGCATTTCCACTTTATTCCCACTTTCTAAAACTCCGATCCAAATCAAAGTGGGAGCTATTTTATGGGACGGAGGGAGTATATTTTACTTTGTATTATTTTATTTATATTAGTTCAAGGTTTATGCCTCACTTTGCCTCTAGCCTTATACGTATCACGAGAAGAGGCCTACTGCCTTGGGGCTTGATTTTCTCTTTCAAAACCTTGATCCAAACAGGCCTCACTTCTCCTTGGAGCTTATTGCCCTACTGTACTCTATAAGGCACAACATTTTTTCTTTTGCGTTTTTCCCTGTTTGTGGCGAAAAAAACACTTGATAAGCACTGTTCTACTTTTCTTGAGTTTCTCTTTGTAGTTATCCCTTCATTTTAGTTTCCATTTGCTATCCTTATGTTCGGCTTATCAGCCATTTTTTTCTTCCAAACACTAGTTTCTTGACTCTTCACACTGAGTTGGTCAATATAGGGGAAAAGTAAATCTAGAGGTCTTTTTTAGGTTAAATTGGCTGAAGATTCTGATAATGACATTCTTAATTTTTTCTTTATACGGAGTATGCTTTTCTTCATTTACTAATAACGTATATTTTAAATATCATTCTTACGAATTCAACCATTTCAGTTGCAACTTGGGAGTCATTTAAGCCATTTATGCTTTACAGGCTATTATTTTTTTTTGAAAAGTCTATAAATGTTGATCTAAGTTCTAGTTTCCCCCCTTTTTAATTGTATATGTGCAGAAAGACAAACTGCCGATTGTTGGTTACTCATGATGACTACAGCGTGATGTCTAAACTTCCCCGTGATAGAACTTCTGTGGTGACAATTATTAGGAACCCGATTGACCGTATCTTTAGTGCTTATGAATTTTCAGTGGAGGTAGCAGCCAGGTTCTTGGTGCATCCTAACTTAACATCTGCCACCAGAATGTCAGGAAGGGCCCGCTCAAGTAGTAAGGGAGTAAGCACCCTAGATATCTGGCCATGGAAGTATTTGGTTCCATGGATAAGAGAAGACCTATTTGCTCGAGTATGTTCTTTAAACCAACTCTTGATATGTTCTTTAAACCAGCTCTTGATATGTATTATTCCCTTCATCCTATTTTGTTTGTCCCATCTTTCCTTTAGACCGTCCTTACTCTTTCAAATTTGTCCTATACCAAATTTGGCCATGTTATATGGGTCATGATCATCCTTGCTCTTTCAAACTTAATACCAATCAGCCTTCACACAATTCCACTTTTCCTTTGTATGTGCCAAACTCCTTGTTCCAAACTTAATGAGAGGGAGGTATTATATATTATGAAGTTTTGTACAATCTAATGTGATTCTTTGTAAGTGCACCACACACTTTTAGGGTGAATCCACTTAAGTGTGATTTGTAATATTTCATTACATTGACCATTAGGCCTACATACTAATGCAAAAACATAAACTATCACAAGGGCCTTTCTCCATATTAGAAATACAGTTCGAGGTTTCAAAGGAATAACAACTAATAGAAGAAACTGCCACTGTTTAGAAAAGATGGATCCCGTAATCGCATTTTCCCCAAATAATTTATTTTTTCATTTGGAGAATATTCGAATTGAATACATGCTGAATACTGATTTCTAAATAAAGCAGAATATTCTAATTTCCAGCATATTTTACATTTCTGATTGTGCATGAATATAGTTGTGCTGATATGACACTGGAGAGTTGGAGTAATCATTGTAGCTGTACGAACTGTACCCAAGCAGGAAAACAAAAAAATATAGAGAAGCGGAAATAGAGTAGGAAAAATGAGATTTTAGTGACATCAATGTGAAGAATGACTTTTACTTTATATTTTAAAGCGATAGAATGGATTACCTTGATCCGAGTATTTTAAAGTTTCAAACTACTGCCATTGTCGTCTTCTATTTATTATGGCTGCACATGCACTGTTTATGGTTGCACATGCACCGGATGTTTTGCTTAATGATCTTGAAAATTAATTTGACCGCAGAGAGAAGCTAGAGCACGTAGAGGTGAAAAAGTTATGTATGGAAATGATCCATATGATATGGAGGATATAGTGATACCATTACACAAGTTTATTAATGACCCTATAGCTCAGGATATCGTTCAGAATGGGGCCACATTTCAGGTATTGCCTTGGCATAACCCTGCTTTGTTCATGCTGATTGTTGATAAAAGATTGCAAGGAACTGGACAATAACTTTTGATAGGTCAAAGTTTTATGATTTAAGAAATAAAGAATATGAAAATGCATAGCCATTCACTTTCTGTTTTTCTAATTCTCACTCTGAGTTGGGACTTGGGAGGATGTAATGGCAAAGAAGAATAGAAGACACATTTATTTATCTGTAGTTAGTGGTGTAAAAGCTCAGTTCTATATTATACCGCACAAAAAGATGGTTCATTCCGCCTGAAAGTGTTTGATTAATAGGTTGCAGGACTCACAAACAACTCTTATATGACAGTGTCTCATCATGTGCGCCATTGTGTACTCAAGTATCATACTCTTGGTCAGTATGCACTCGAAGTTGCGAAGGTACTTATTAATGAGAGGGTTTTGCCAAATATGTGCATTGTTTCTTTCTTCATCATGTTCTCCTCCTCCTCCACAGTTTTTATATTAAATTCCTCCATATATAATCTTGCAGAAGAGGTTGGATGGAATGTTGTATGTTGGGATCACTGAGAACCACAAAGAGTCTGCCACCATGTTTGCAAATGTGGTTGGTACTCAGGTGATTTCCCAGTTAACTCCCTCAAGGTTAGGCAAAAGCACTTCCGAATCTACTAACAACAATTCAGGTTAGCTACTTGATGAGCTACGTAATAATGATAAATATTAATAACTATAATAATACAAAGACATGAATAATAATACAAGACAAATAAGAGGAAGAGAGCTTAACTGCTTGTTTGATGCTAGTAAGAGTTATTTGATTGCACTTGCTGAATGTGCTATTATTTTTAAGCAAAAGCTTCAGTAACATTCATTTCATTCAAATGAATGAGTGCCTAAAGATATTTGGTAGCATCCAACTTTTAGTGCTAATGGGGTTTTGTTAGGGTCCATGCTGCAGTTTGTCTGGTTAATTGTCATCTTTGTTTACTTTAAAGCCACTCTTCACAAAAAGTTCCTTCTACATCTTCCAAATTTTTCGTTAGTTAGGTTAGTATTCTTCACTTTGTGGTAGAGTCCTTTAAGAAGGGACCATCTTACCTTTCGTGATTCCAATGCTGTCTAGTTTTAGTTTTCATTTCACGAGTTTGATTATTGCAGCAAAGAAAATAGCTGATAATGATTGTTATTGAGAAAATTTTCTTAGATTGAAGTCCCCAGAGTAACTTTTTTACTCCATTTTTAAGGAATTAAACATCTTGTGATTGTGTTATTTGCTTAGAAATAATAATAATAATACTATGTGCTTGTGCCACAGAACAAATAAATCTTTCCGAAGATTCTGGCTTGGATGCTGAGGTAACAGGTTTTTTTCTTGTTAGTGTCTTGAATTGTGATTATTATAAATGCCTCAAGTTGTGGTTCTCACTTATACGGAGCAAGTGTTAGTGTGTTGCTGAACATGAAATTTAGTCATTCTGAATTGTAACAAAAAATTTCTGCACGTGGGTGCCAGATGACTGCAAAAAAACTCATCAATGCGTATGAGGCCTGTGTGAAGAGCTTACGCTCATCTCAGTCAGAAAGAAGAACAAAGTCACTGATAAAAATATATCCTGCAAATTTCACAAAAGAGGTAAACATCTGAAATGAAAATGCACTTCTTCATCTCTCTTACCTGTATGTGTTGCCACTAGTTATTTGCTTAATTGTTCAACCCCCCCCCCCTCCCCCCCCTCCCCCCCCCCCCCCCGAAACAAAATTCTTCTTGTTATGTTTCTACTAAAGAAACCTAATTTCAAAATTATAAGTTAATGTAATTTTCTATGTTTTGAAATCTAAATCTCTAACATTTTAAATATGATAAGCTTAGCAGAAATTGCCCTAAATATGAGTAAAAAGAATGTCAAATTTCAAAATGAGAGTACTATATTTACCCCCACAATATGAGTAATTAATGTCATGATTGGAAAATGCCGCTAGTATGACATTAATATCGGCATGTTAATGTCTGGTAATGTCAAAATATTACAATGTGATTTTAGTATGATGGCAGTAATTACTCATAAACTCCTGTTTAGTATGATAGTATGATTTCAGTACGTTACTACTCATATTTTGGAATTTCACATTGTTCTTACCCTTTTCTGGGAAATTTCCTTAAATGTAGTTAAATGAACTAACAAGAGTTGTACCATCCCAAATTTAAAAACCTGTGCATCTTGATAATTTATCTCCATCTAATTGATTTGATAATTAAAAAGTGAAATTTGAGCAGGCTCGCCGTCATATTCCTGCACAACTCATTCAAGAGATAAGTTCACTCAACAACCTTGATATGGAACTCTATGAATATGCACAAGTGATCTTTGAAAGGCAAAACATACTCGGAGTGCAGAGAGCAGATGTAAGTGCATATGCCCCCCGTCCCCACACCCTAGTCTAAAGTGTGCATCAAATAAAAATCATCCATCTATCCTTTGTTCTAAAATGGTTGTAGGTGAAAGATGATGATGATGGAAAGATGAGCAGTCTCGATGACGCCTCTTCGAGACTACTTCATTTTGCAGTATTCCCATTTGTGTTTCTGTCTCTCTTACTTTTCATCTTTGTAAACGCAAAACGAAAAAACTTGAAGGTTAAAGACAAGACATAGAAAAAAGGAAACATATACATATACTATAGAAGAAGAATTAGTTCAGAATACAGACATTATTGAAGAACCTCTGTCCTAAAACCTGCCATGGCAATAGTATTAACTTGTTAAATATCTTGTTTTGAGAAAATTTCGAAATAGAAGTATGATGTTTTACTCGCTAAATAAGAGTAATTACTTCCAAGCTTGAAAAATCTAATTAAGTATAAATTCTGAATAAAAACATTTTAATCATGTTTTGGAATTTATAAATATTTTTACTCCTATTTAGGGACACTTTTCTGTAAATTTTTATTTTTATTTTACTCTGGTCGAATCTTGCAAATTTGCAGTACCAATGTCCGTATGGAACTTTGTTATTATTATATTACGTAGTATTATTAAACAAAACTAATAATGATAGAAACAAAGATGCGTGAATGTGTACAAAATATGCAACCTATTATCCCGTACTCCTATCGTAATTTCTTGTTTGATATGAATTATATGCCCATGGGACCGATTATTTTGGTGTAATTGGGTGTAATGTGTGCGATTGAATGAGACATATTTTAAATTTTGAATACAAAAATGAACAGTGTACTCGGTCTTTTTTATTTTTCTTGGTGAATGACAATGTTCTAAAAGGTGTTAGGCGCTAGTCGGGTGCCAAGTCGGGAACTTGTCGGGAACATAGAAATTTCATTTTTATGTGTACAAAATACATATATTCACACGCATTAATAGCTTTTCACATTTAACTAGTATACTACATGTGCATACGCACGAGAAAGAGCAGTGAGTGAATATATATTTACTAATGATCTAAACAAATATTAAAATAAAATAACTTTTGAGAAAAGTTGCTAAGAAATGTTTGCATGAATAATAGAGGATTACCTAAAAGCATTACATATTAGATAGAAAAGTGTCGCGTTCACTTATTAGTTCGCTTATCTTATACGTAAAAGCATTATATATGAGATAAAGTCCCCCCACACAATTATTAGTCCACTTATCTTCTTATGCATAAAAGCATTACGTATATATAAGAGAGAAAATTCTCCAGCTCAGCTATTAGTCGAGCGTCAGTCCAGTGCCTAGGCGGCTAGGCGGGCCCTAGTCGGGGACTAACCTGGAACATAGAAATTGCATTTTTATGTGTATAAAATACATATACACACACACATTAATAGTTTTTCACATTTAATTATACGTAGTATGGAATATATGATAACTAATCCTTAACTTCATTATGTTATAATAATAATAATAATAAAATTTAGGTATAATACAAACATATATAGTTTTTATCTTAATTTACAACTTCATGTATTTATATCCGTGGCTAAATTTAAAGTACATATATCGCTTAGAAAATTAAAATTAAAAAACAAAGTAATGTTCGGTGAATAAAGACGGCCTAGACGGCCAATTAGGCGCTATGGGCGGGCAACTAGACGCCATATGCAGCCAACTAATTCACCTAGACGGCAAACCAATTAGTCGGAGCGCCTAGACGAAAATCGAGGCGCCCGGCCACTGCCTAGCGCCTATGCGGGGACTAGTCGGATGCCTAGAACGATTTTTAGAAAAGAGGTGAATGATGTCAAGTTAGATCAATGATGTTTCTAACACAAAATTATTTGAAATATGAAAATGTTATATATAAATGTTTTTTGTTAAAAGCACTTTCACAAAATTATAAAAGTTATAAATTCCACACAAATATAATACGGAGTAGCTAAAATTACTGTCTAAAATTTATTACGTAGTATCACCGATTAAGAAAAGTGAAATAGTCAAGTTTTGTGAGATAAAAGAAGTACTCCCTATTAGATTATTAGTTAGTCTGATTTCTTTTAGGATGTTTTCCTATGAATGGATGGTTTTAGACTCAAACAAAATTACACCATAATAGATTATACTCTGTATTAGATTAGACATATATACATAGTTTTGATTAGACAAAATTACACCATAATTGCATTTTTATTTGTATAAAATACATATATACACACACATTAATAGTTTTTCACATTTAAGTATACGTAGTACGGAATATATGATAACTAATCCTAAACTTCATTATGTTATAATAATAATAAAATTTCGGTATAATACAAACATATATAGTTTTTATCTTAATTTACAACTTCATTTATTTATATCCGTGGTTAAATTTAAAGTACGTATATCGCTTAGAAAATTAAAAAACAAAGTAATGTTCGGTGAATCAAGACGGCCTAGACGGCCAATTAGGCGCTATGGGCGGGCAACTAGACGCCATATGCAGCCAACTAATTCACCTAGACGGTAAACCAATTAGTCGGAGTGCCTAGACGAAAATCGAGGCGTCTGGCCACTGCTTAGCTAGCGCCTAGGCGGGGACTAGTCGGATGCCTAGAACGATTTTTAGAATAGAGGTGAATGATGTCAAGTTAGATCAATGATGTTTCTAACACAAAATTATTTAAAATATGAATATGTTATATATAAATGTTTTTTGTTAAAAGCACTTTCACAAAATTATAAAAATTATAAATTCCACGCAAATATAATACGGAATAGCTAAAATTATTGTCTAAAATTTATTACGTAGTATCACCGGTTAAGAAAAGTGAAATAGTCAAACAAAATTACACCAGAATAGATTATACTCTGTATTAGATTAGACATAGTCAATGGTACAAAGACATAAAGTAGACCTTTATCGGACCTGATTAATTCAAATTGCACCGTACAAAAAAAATTAAACGCTTTTCAAAAATATTATTAAAATAAAAAACTTTTACAATAATATGACCAAAGTTACTATGAGTATAATGTTATTATGTGCATTATGTTGTTAAGATCTGAGGTTCCATCCTAACAGATCAACATGATAGGAGGAGTAGCTCAGATCTTAATATAATGTTTAATTGTTTCAGAGGTATCCGGTGTGAGACTTTAACATATATCCACCCAAAATAAAATCTAATTTTGTAGAAATTAATCCAATTTTAAAGAGTGGTGCAAAAATAAATCAACCAGGTCAAAGGGCGCAATGAACGTGCCTTTGTTTACAATACAAGAATCCATGACCCAAATAAAAAAGATTTGTACCCATCCATTATTTATAGCTCCCCCCACTCAATAATATAATCATTTATCCCATTCATTGAAGTAACATGTATTGTTACACCTTAAGGCAGGCCCACTATTCTATCACCACACCTCTATGCAACTTTGATTGTCAACCCATTCTGTCCACCACCATCAACTACATTAGCTTAGCTTTTCTTGTGCAATCTTTCTTACCTTACTCCAATTTCTAGCATATTAGTTAATCTTTATTTTTATAGAGGTAATTAATCTAGACTGTAAATTGTCATTTTAGTCATACATGAATTCCAATTACACCATGTCTTTGGAAGCATCATACATTTGTTATCAACTTATAACTATTTCCAATCATTTATTTTTTTAGTTTCACTTATCTGCTTTTGTCATCATATTTGAACGAGGTTTATAGTCACTATGATGAATGTATCAAACACAATTATATTCTCTATCCAAAAAATACTACATAATAATTATGCTCAAACGAGTCTTTTTTAAAATTTATCTAAACAAAAACGACTATATGGTATAATTAAACTTAGAGATTTGCCACTTTCATACTATTGAATTTTTCCGTTTTAGCCTTTTGAACATTGTGAGCGACATTAGTGATCTTTGGATATGAATTTGTCCATATTTTAGTCATCTCATTATTGTATAAATGACAATTTTCATCCTTTTTCTGTGTTTGTATTGTACTATTGGAAATACTACAAATGATACTGTCAAAATAGTCCGGGACTAAATATATACACATAAAAATAAGTATTAAAAGTATCTTTGTTACAATAGTCAAAAGATCGATTGATAGTAGCAAACTTGAAAGTCTGATAGTGTTACTAGTCGGAAGAATAAATGTGAGAGAAACTGACATTAGCTAAACATAGCTGATTATTTTTATGATTTCATTTTAAGTTATCTCAAATAAGCTTTTTTTCATTTGGTAGCCTAACTCCTAAATGAAATAAATTAGTACCATAACTATGTAAATGTTTCAACCGTCAATATTTTCAAATTTCTGACTAAAACGTGACGGTCAAAATTCCATGCGCACACTCTAATGGACATTACTTTTATCCACGTTATCACTATATAGTGGACTATCAGACTATGTGCATGAATATCCGACTGCCATGTAGGACATTTTAGTCGGAAATTTGAATATATTATCGTTTGAAACATTTACGTATAGTTTTCTTCCTGATTTGTTTCATTTAAAAATTAAGGTACCAAATTACAACAATGCACTTCGTTAAGGTCCCGTTTGTAGTTTGTACATTTTACCACACTAAATCAGACATTTTAACCAAATAATTCTTACCAAAAGAAAGCTTAAGCTTTATAGTTGTTTGATTCAATTCACAGCAAGAGGAAATGAAACGTAAAAGGAATTAAAGGATGAATTCAAATTGCTATAGTGGCAGGGGCGGACCCAGAAACTTACCTTGGGGGATCGTGGATTCATTGACGTATCTTGAATTTTTTTGAGTGGTGATTAACTTACACTAGAACTTAGTTACATATTTCACAAATAGCAAATACTCCGTGCATTATTAATATTGTTTTGATTAGACTTAGTTTAAGTTATAAATGTACAAGTATGTATAAAAAGAAGATCAATTTATATTATGTGCGTGCAAAGACCAAGTTGTAATAGTGGGCTAGCAGCAGTGAAAAACATTTAATACTTACTATAACTAAAAGAAGAAAGGGTGACCCCGATCTAAGAGGAATTAATTGGGAGGATATAAATTAAACTTTAATCACAAAGTGATAAATAACGAGTTGAACAGTGATTCAAATACTTATATTACAGAGGTTCTATGCATATTTAACATTTTCTCTGAACAATGGGATAATTAGGTTTGAATAATCTCTACCGACCCCAAATGTTAAAAATTATATGGAGTGGAAAATGGTTATAATATAAAATTACACTACTTTGCATTTCAAAACAATTAAAGGGTGGTCTTATTATTTATATTTTTATACACGCCAGTACCCGACAATCGAATTAGAATAAAGTTGTTTAATCTGACTATATACTCGTATACAATTTTTTCGGTAAATATAAGAGATACAATTTATTTCCTAAATAGAATAAAAATATGGGAGAAATGTAAAGTAAGAATAGGTCTTTAAAATTTTCTAAACAATACGGAGTAGTATTTTTCAAGCAGTGATAAGGGTATCGTGTAGGATTTGTGCTAGCCACCACACTCTCGTCGGAGCGGTCGCAGGAGCTGCTGCCATCGCCCAAAATCTCCAAAATTCATTCGATGTCGGGCGCCGGAACTCTGTCGCCACTTCCACCAGTAGCCACTAATAGATTGACCGGCCACCATCGTATTGACCCCATTATACAATGAAACTAGAGGACAATTAATTATATCACTTAATTAAATTAGAGTTATTTGAGGTAAAAAAAAATTAATGAGTAATTACTTTAAATATAAAAGTAGACTTTTAACAGTTGTTATACCGTATGACCGGTATACGGTGAGCACCGTATACCGGCATACGGTTTTAGGTATTGGGTATTATTTTTTACTTCTATTTTTCAAAAAAATGGTAATAACTTTTTTATTTTTGATCTGATTTTTATAAAATTTATATCAACATTTTTTATTTTTCATGATCTTTCAAATGAGACCAACATTGTCTATGTAATTTTAACATATTATCGAACTATTATATTAACCTATGTAAAATATGTAATTTTACGTGTAGAAATATGTAACTCATGTCCAGTCAGACCAAATGTAACGCGTGTCTATAAATATGTAACTCGACGTGTAAAAATATGTAACTCGCGTTCAGACAGATTAAATACAACTCGTGTGTATAAATATGTAACTCACGTGTATAAATATGTAACTTTACGTGTAAAAATATGTAACTTTATGTGTAAAAAAATGTAACTCGCGTTAAGGCATGCCAAATGCAACTCGTGTGTATAAATATGTAACTTTACGTATAAAAATATGTAACTCACTTGTATAAATACATAACAAAATAAATTTTTTATATACACAGTTTTAAGATAAATTGTGATTTACACAATTATTTTTTTGTATTAAATTTAGTTCGATTTTCCTTATAATCCAATACTCATTAATATAATAGTTTGATAATTTCTTAAAATTACATAAGGGAAAAACAAAAAAGTTGATATAAATTTTATAAAAATTGGATCGAAAATAAAAAAGTTATTATCATTTTTAAAAAACAAAAGGGAAAAAAATAAAAGTTTGTATACCGGTCATACGGTATAATTTGCCGACTTTTAAAGGGCACGTTTAATGAGGAAATAGAGGCCAATTTAGAGAATACTTAGCATGAGCTCCTATTTAGGGTAATTGTTAGATGTGATTAGTCAGTACTCTCAAGGACAATATATTTATGAATCTTGATGAGTCAAAGTCTAAGAGAATTTCAGTTCCGATATATTTATGAAATTTAAAATTTCATGAAACTTGAAGAGATTCTAACCAATATGAGTAAGATTGATAGAGTTTTAGATATTTCACATTCTAGATCCAATATCTGACAACTTTACATCAATTAATTCTCAATTGATTTTGTCATTTTTAATTTCAATTAAAAAATTGTGGTTCCAGTTAATTTTTTTTCTCAACCCACGCAATTTCTACTTTATTAATTAATACCCGTGCCGGTAAAATGTGGTCAAGTTTAAGGGAGGGAGGGAATATAATAATCTAAATTTAAAATTATATTATCACTCTTAGGATGTTTTTACTTGGATCGGACTAAAATTTGTTGATCTGATCTAGTCTGGTAAATATATAGTCTTTGTGTATTTTACTATGAAAGTCTGGTCTGATCTGTTTAAGCTTGGTCTGATCTGGTCTATTTAAGGTTGGTCTGGTCAGAGACTGAAAACAGTCCAAGCAAAAACATCCTTAGTAATTTTGAGTTAATTTTTTTTTGGCTAAATTTACTAATGAACTATTAAGTTTTCTATTTTATAATTTTTCCTAAAAGAATGGCATGGAAAAAACTACTCGGCTTTGCATTTCCAAAACTATGACTCATTTTGCCTTTTCAAAAAAACATGACTCAAAACAATGAATCGGACCGTGCCCTTCTCTTATTCGAAGGGTTCGAAGGCTTTTCATCGTCTTTACAGCTCAAAGAAGAACATTGCTCGAAGACGGATCGAAGGACTTTGCACCGCCATCTCCGCGCATCGCGAGGCCGCCAGCATCCTCCACCTCCGCCTCCACCGCATCCACACTGCCAACGGTCAACCTTAATGTCCGCCGCATCCACGTCGCCGACTGCACAGGTTCGCCATTCTTCTCCTTTCTTCCTCTCTTCTTGTTTCTCCATGGATGGCGATTGAAATGAGGTGTGGCGAGCGACGGCGTGGCCACATCTATTGAATTTTGAGGATGATGAAGCACGATGATGAAGCACGATGATGGGTCTAGATCCAGAAGTCCGACGCAGATCTGTTGATTTCACTGCGAACCGAAGCCATGGGGCAGTCACTGTGGCCTGTGGGGCAGTCACTATGGCCGGTGGGGAGTCACTGTGACGCCAGAGTCACTTTGCACTGTAGCCGGAGTCACTGAGATAGTGACTGGTGACGGTGGTGCCGGTGCCGGCAGCGGCGGTGTTGGGGTCGGTGGCCACAGAGGTGCTGGTGGCTACAAAATATGAACTACTAATAAAAAGAATATTAAAATAATAAATGTATGATAAATACAAGGAATAAATGACTTTTAGTCACTTTTTTGGAAAAAATTAAAACAAGTCACATTTTTGTCTATTTCATTCAATTTAGTAATATTGAAATAAAAGGCCATTTTTCCTGTGGTTTATTAGTAAATTATATTTTAGTTTTTCTCCATATTTAGCAAAGGCAATTTAATCTTTCAAGCCAAAGTTTTAAAATTTTCACCCATTTCCTTGAATTTGAGTGTTACCAGTTGAGCTTATATTTTGAGAAATATTTATGGAAACCGGAAAATAGTTGAAATTCTTCAGAATTAAACATAAGTAAAATTAGTTTCTGGAAAATATGATGTCAATTTTAAACACAATTATAGTCACTAAAAGTTATCTAATCACATTTTGTCTATGACTTTTTTATTAGTAATATATTAAGAAAAACTAAGAAATTTCTCTAATTTGAATATACATAAGGGAGTAATTTCAATTTGGTTATCATATAAGCTGTAAATATTTTCTTAATTTTAAGAAAATATTTCAAACATAATTATTATTATTTTGAGTAATTTCGAACATAATTATTGTAAAACTTAACAAATAAAGCTAAATTGGTCATTTGAACCCTAACTTCAATATTTTTTATTATTTCTTAAAAAAGTACTCCGTAAAATAGAGAGGTATAGTTTGGAGTAGAAATTTAGTATGTGCCGCCGACATAAGATGCACTTGAAAGTTGAAACTGTTTTGCTATAAATCTAGGGGGAAAAGTCGAATGTCAAGTTGTAAAAAAATAAATAAAAAAATAAAAATAAAGAACATTATTTCTTTCCCAATAAGGCCATTTCTATCTTATTTCTTACCCTACCTATCTTCTTCTTTCCCCCTCTCTGCAAAACCAAAGCCTCCTCAAGAAGTGCAATGACTCTCTCATGGAAATAGACTCAGCGGTGAGTTCGATTCCCTTTCCGCCCTAAACAGGATAAAGCTTTTCCGCACCCATTTCTTAGTTTTTCACGAAGTTTTTCCATTTTCAATGCTTTTCGGTATACCTTAAGGAGATTTCCCCAATTCCCCCCTTTCTTCTATCTGGTTAATTGTTGAGAAATTTCAGTTGTTCAATGTTGGTAAATTTTGTTTACCTTTCAGCGTATTGTTCTTCTTTTACAAGGCCTAGCAGCCATGGCTTATATTTACTGCCCCGCATTTTCTTGCCAGTCAGAAAGAGCAGAGAGTTTACCTCTGGGTGACAGTCCTGCTCTTAAAACTGCAAGGAAAGCTTGAAAACGATGTCGTACCCTGTTTAAGAAAAGAGAAACCTAAACCAAGAACGGAAATTACTCTCCTCCACTTTTTTTTACCACGTGTTTTTGTTGCTGTTTGAACTTAATCACCATTTTGTTTGCCCAGTATAGACTGCTTTTTGTTTTAATTATTTTTTGTTTGTATCTTGTGATATAGTACTAATGGAACTGGAATTAACATAGGCAGGAAGATTCTTTCTATACTTGGAATTTAGGTGGAGGGGGTAATACTTTTGGGAGTAGCTAGTAAATGGTAAATATTTTTTACACTTATATATGCGTGTGTCTCTTTGTGTGTATGTATTATGTATTTATGCATTGCATATTTATATACCAAAATTTAGAGAGAATAAACTCAAAGGTGATGTTGCAAATACATGTATGGCCGTGGTCAATGTTGAATTCAATTTTTATACAATTGAAAATTAATTTGGAGTCTGGGTTAGTGTCATAATCTTATAGAATTAATAGTTCATTGTGTTGTGTTTGTGTTTCAGAAGATGAGTGTGGTTGAAAGTGGTTGTTTGGAGGGGATAGCGAATGGGTGTGACAACTTTCCAGACTTTCTGAATATTTTGGATTTCCCAGAGGAGAGTTTGGAAGGAGAAGACTTTGTAGGGGATTGGGATGCTAATATGTTGGAGTCCCTTGGCCCAATCCCTTCAGATGCTTTGATGGGGTTGTCTCCTCCATTGCCTAAGGCTGATATTGTTAATGGCTCTTTGAAGACGGCATTCAAGTCCCAGGCTATTGTGAGTGTTTCCCTTTTTCTTACTTCTTTGCATCTTTATTTGTTTCAATATGTTATTGGTTATTTAAAATTTATTTTTTCCCTTCATAAAGATTTTTTTATTAAAGTCAAATTGGTCTCCAAGCTTAAGAAGCATACACAATCTTTTATAGCTTATGGTTTCAGGGGGTTAAGAATCAACAGTGCTAGCAAATCTCTATCTACATTGAATAAAGAGTAGAGCCCTTCTAAACTTTCTTTCAGATAAGATGTCAAAGCAGGGCCTGTTTGGATGAGGTGCAAAACCTTAGATATGTATAAAGATATAGACTAAGTTTTTGTTTTGCAAACATACCGTTTGGGCTCCCAAGATTATCAGTTGATGATATGTAATATTCTGACCTAATTTGTGGTTAAGGTTGGAAAGAGCTCATGACTAGAAAGGCTCTTTTGAAGCATACTTTTGAGAACTGTGGGGCGTAAGTGCGTGCTTTTAAAGAGTTTGGCAATGAGGTTGAAACGTACTATGTAAAATTGAAAATGTCAAAAACAGTTTTTTTAACCTCAAATGGATTTCTCAAAACACAGAACTCGTCCTCGAATTACTTTTGTGTTATGGTGAATTTTGACGTTTCAAATGAACTTTTAGACAAACTTATACTCCGTACATTGTTTGGGGTTGTGTTATGTCAAAAATGGACTTTTACCACCACAAACTCAACCCCCAAATTTGACCTTAATACATATCCCTTTTACAAAACGTGCAAATGCTGTAGCAATGTAACCCACAGCCTATGAAAACATGTGACATGTTGTGAAGAAAAAGTAAAGAGAGAGACAAGTAGAAAAATGAGGAGAGGAAACAGTTAAATCACACAGAGGCAAATTATAATTGTTGGGTAGTGGAATGTCCTGTCTGTCCCCTGATGATTTAAATTGTGCTGTTTAACTTATTCAAAAAACTTAGTTCTTGATGATGGTATACTTATTACTTAGTTTGTACATTATAGCAAAGATCACCATTTATTTGAATAAAATTCAGTCCCTGTTTGAATTACCACTTATTCCAACCTTAGTAAGGCATGTAGTGCTTGGTCTATTTTAAAGTATTCTTTTTCCAAAGTGGGAACCTCTTTTACTACTTATTTGTTGCCATCGTGAACTAATTAGTTCAATAGCTACTTGGTAGGAACTCGGTCAAGGGCTGAGTAGCGAGTAGGACCGGGTACTCGGGATTACTCAGTCATTACTTGGCCCTGTATTAAAAAAAATTTAAAATATAGATGCCCGAAATTATAGTACTATGAATAAAATAACACTAATTGGACAATCCTAAAAGAAGAAACAAGAAACAAGATAGAGCCATTAAAGAGAATAACTTACAGAGAGATGAGGAGGAACCACTACTTTAATGAGCCGATGTTTGAAATACATTTCAACCTAGACTTTGTAAAGTTAATTTCCAATTTTATAAAAACCCACTCATTATTTATAAATTCCAGAATATCGCACTTTAAGTAAAACTCTTCAGATTTAACCCTAAAAAATTATAAGTGGCCAAGTAACTTGCTGAGTCAAATATTTCCATGAGTTAAGAGACTCTCCTAGTAGCTCGGGAATACCAGACGGGCCAAGTCAAGTTGCTAAACTGAATGGCCAGTCCTGAGTTGCGAGTACGCACCGAGTAGATAACATAGATCATGAAACTAAGGATGTTTTTACTTGGACTGTAATTTGCTGGTCTGGTCTGAACTGGTCTGGTCTGGTTTCTTTGTATTTTTATAACTATCCAAGTCTGGTCTGAACTGGTCTGGTCTGGTCTGGGATGAATTACAGTCCAAGTAAAAACATCCTAACAAACATTTTGTCGTATGGAGGAACACATCTATGCAATTTCAATATTCAAACTATTAACTGAATAATTAAGATACAAACGGCAACCTGTTTTATGAATAATGAGAAATAGATTGAAATATTTCAGTAGTTAGCTTACACACAATGCACTAAAAAGCACGAGTTGACGCCTACGTGGTAGAGTTGTGCCTAGCACCTGGCCTGCTGGGGGGATTTATGTAGGGCGCAGGCTAAGGGAATAAAAATAAAAATTCAGAGTAGCCAAGTGAGGACGAGGTGGGGAGTTTTAGAACACTATCTAACACGTGTTAGATTTAATATTGTGGCTGCTAAGCTAATGATGTAACCACAAGTGTCACAATTTAGGTATCATTTGGTAAGAATAATTTGGCTGTTTCTGCATTTCTGAAAGGAGACTGAAAGGAGAAGTGCTTGGTAACATTCATTTGGCCAACTAAGTCAAAAGCTGCTTATTCTTCTTATTCACTTTGCTGATAAGCAGAATAAGCCAACTATGGCTACCAAAAGGAGCCTTATTGTGGAAAAGAATATGTGGAAAGAGTATCTGTTTTATTTAGCATGGCATATTCAAAACAATACGATCATTACTTCATTTGCTTGTCATGATTCTTATTTCTGTCTTGCTTAAACCATTAGGAGGAATCATCTGGTGCTACGCTTTTCTACCCAAGCAAATATTATGATGCGCGGAAGTCTCGTTTGTTCCAGACACAAAGCCCAATATCTGTCCTAGAGTGCAGCATTTCCAACAAACCTGACTTGATCATCCCGGTACGTACCCGATCCAAACGTACCCGACCAACCGTCAATCCATGGACTCTAATCCCTCCTCCCATATCTCCTACTGCCTCCGCATTGGGTGGGAAGAAAAGAAGAATGAGGATGAAGACATCAGTTAATAATGGGGTGACTTCGGACCAGGCACTGTCCACAGTTAAAAGATGCACACATTGTGAAGTCACAAAGACACCACAGTGGAGAGAGGGACCATTGGGACCCAGGACTCTATGCAATGCGTGCGGTGTCCGTTACCGCTCGGGACGGCTTCTTCCGGAATACCGTCCAGCAGCTAGCCCAACATTTGTTCCTACACTGCACTCCAACTCTCACAGAAAGGTTGTGGAAATGAGAAGGAAAGCTGTTCTGGACATGCCGGATGGTTAAGGATTTAAGATGGTGGGAGAGTCTAGTTAGGAGGGATTAATGTTTTCTCTTTTATGCTCTTAAGGTTATTTACCAGAGGGAGATTGTGCTAATTACTGAAGCAGTTTTGTACAAAAATGAGATGGAACTTAAGAGTGGTAGATCCAAGAGAAAAAAGGCTGGAGGTTTTTACTGGTGATTTTATGGAACCTCTTAAACTCTTGCTCGGTTTCTTTTATTACATTCTTCTTAAGTTCTTATCCCCCTGGCAAGGTGACCCCTTTTTATTGTCATTTTAGATTCTTTAAGCTGATCAGATTTTAAGTGGATCACAGTTTAGTCTCCTTTATGACCAACAATTGCTTTGGGAAACTATGTCCAAAAATATTACCCAAACCCAGTAACAACTTCATACTCTTATTTACTTGATAAGCAGTTAATCATGAATTTCAAATACTTATTCAGTCATATAATGAGTATAGGGAAAACTATCAAATTGGTTCTCGTACTATAGCAAAAACAACAATTAAGTTCTCGTACTAAAAAATCACCCAATTAAATCCTTGAACAATCAAAATATGCCCAATCCAGTCTTTTAGTGGGTTTCTAACCGGGTAATCTGGTAATTCTAACGTGGAGTCCATGTGACGTGAAGTTTCCCTGTTACCACGTTTTCGATCTACCTCAGCATCATCTGCCAAGGTAACCAAACCGGCAATTCAATAGAGGGGAATCTCGTTGCGCCTAGCTAAGGAAAAGGAGAAAGATGATGATTGTTGTTGGCCCATTTCCGTCATCACCTAGATTCAAAGAAGATTGAGCAATGGAGAAGAAGGCCATTGTATAGCCACAAGCTTCTCCAGTCGGTCTTTCTATCCATTTCTTGCTATCCATTAGGTCACCAGTTCTCACTAATGAGTTTGCTCGTTCCGGTCAAGCTCGCCATCCATTACTGTTGCCGGTGCCTTGCTCCAAAGAAAGGAGATGGTGGCTTCAACGTCGCTCAAATACATAGGCAGGGGTGAAGAAGGTTGTAGTACATTGACAATCTTTCGCCTGGCATCTTTTTGTTGCCCGTAGCCATTTCCTTGCTCAGAAGAGAAGATAAGATGCACATGCAACTCCATTTCCGTCAATTGCGGTGCCGGAAGCATGGACCTAATTTTGGGCATGTAATTTCTGTCACCAGTTAACCTTGTAGTTGTTTTTTTAATTTTAACTACCGGTTTTTAACAGGCTATAAGGACTAATTGATCTTTTTTTATAGTTTGAGGATTTGATTGACTAATTTTATAGTACAATGACTTAATTGCCGTTTTTGGCATAGTACAAGGACATATTTGATAGTTTTCCCATGAGTATAAGCATTGTTTGTTAATTGGATTAGGTGCTTAAGGATGGATTTGACCCTATTTAAGGAGACATTCACTTATCACACCTATCAATCTTCAAGGAATGTCTACCTCTATATAAAGTTCTTGTAATCCTCTAAGAGATTCCAGAATTGCTTTTGCTTCAGCTGACGACACTGTTCCGCTTAAATGAGGAAAGGTCATGGCAGCAAAAAGTATTCCATGATGAATTCTAAGAAGAGCTCCTTCTGCAGACAGCAGTAGTATCGTCGATTAAACTTGTCAACTTCGATATTCTGTACTGAGTTATCACGGATAACATTTTGCTCATGACCTAGAGTGGTCAAAATCACTCGTGCTTGTTTCCTATCTCAAGAGAATTGGATCACCCTCGTCCATCGACCCCTCGATCATACACCATTGGTCCATAAAGGCACATTACTGCCAATAAGGCAAAGACGATATCTTAGGCTGCATTTCATGTTCAGATGAGGGCACCACAACACCATGCGTCTTCTTTTCATATGTGGTATGGTTTCACACATGCAGTAGCTTACACGTGTACTCTCATTTAATGTGTTTGTTAGATGTAGGGAACCTCTTTGGGCAAATGTAGCATTTCTCAATTCAATCAATACGATATCTCTCTCTTTATCTCTACATTTAGCCTCGTCTTCAAGCTCTCTAGAATACCACTAGCGGGTTCTCAGTATAATTATCACATTTGTGAGATCTCATGAAGATACATTATTAATAGCCTAGTTTTTTTAAGTGGATAGTCACATGTCCTTTGCTAGTTTGTAGTCTTTACAACTTATAGTTGATGTTATAATCTTTTGATAGTTTTATAGTCTTTACAATTTATAGTTGGTATTATGATACAGATACACCATCCATTGGAGTCGTACACTCTAGTTCATCTCCTTTAGTAACTAATACTAATTAATCAACATTGATTATCAAACATTTTAATGTTATTGTAACTAATTGATGAATTTTGGTCTTGTAAACATCTTTTCATTAAAACATCATTAAGACAAAGCATTTTCCCTAAAAGTTAATTTTTTTATTCATAAAAATGATGAATCGCTCCCTCAATGTTGTACCTTGTGATCAGATGCACTCTTTGGTTTTCAATAAACAATATTGTATGTTAAATGATTGAACCACTTATCAGTTATCATAGCACAATGTAATTGTAAACCCTAATTTAGAAAGGTTATTTATGTAAAAAGATGTGCTCAGATATTCTCTATTTAATGATTCTTCTTTCGTATTTTGAGCTCTCAAATCTCGACCCGTCAAAATAAGAATACCACAAGTTACTTCGAGAAAGTTTTAGAACCATGATCGGCGGTCCTAACCTCACGCCGACGTACTGGACGCGCACAAATGCTATCGCTTTTGGAGACATCTTTCTCATTTCTACTCGTGAAGCTATGCGATCTCCAAAGCTTAAGGTTAATATCGCTCATTCCCACATCTCAATTTTCTCTTTATAAGCTTACAAGATTTAGCAAAAATATATGGTATTTCCATATTTAAAATGAGTTTTTCTAAGAGACCTTTTTCATTAAGGAAGTTTTGTGCTAGATCTCATCATCACCTTATTATTTACTTATGATCTTTGCTATATTACAATTTGCACTTGGATGCTCAAACCTTATTATAACTTCTTGAGGTGTTTTTGTAGTACAGTTAAAACACTTTGGTGCTTACTATTTGGGACGGTGAGAGAAACGAATGAATTATGATCATTTAGATCTAGATCCAACCGTTTCAAAAAAAATCTAGATCTAACTTGTATGATCTTACAATATAGATCTGGATTATAAGGTCACAATATCTAAATCTTGATGACAAATTTATGACATACACCTATAAAACATATTTCGTATAATTTACGGTTGATCTGTATGGGTGACTTTCTATGAAAGTTATGTTATTATGTGCATATCCACTTACTCGTTCTCATTATTTATATTTTAGATCGTTCATCATTTTTTCTATGATTTTTAAAAATTTGATTTTGTAATTTTTTCAATGCATGATATTGTTGATAAGGTATTGATATTTCTAAAGCTTTAGCATATGTGCATTTTCAAATTTGTTTACAAAATTTAAAAGTTCTTAGCTTGTCCTTTTACTATGTTATTTAAAATCTCATCTTTATAAATCTTAGCGTAATGTTAAATCCCCGTGTCTTAAATATGCAATTTAGGATTCCTGTTAATATATTTTTTGGTAATCTCATTTAAAATATCACTCTGTATTTGAAAGGCAAACTTTGCATTATCTTGAGGTAATAATACTGATCTTATTTCTTAACATGGTCAATGAATGTATTATAATTGAGTAATGTAAACATGCTCAAATTGTGCAATGATGAGGTGGATTAATGATTTACATTTTAAGTACAACATCGTCATTTATTAGTATAATAAATTTTGCACACTCCAAGTGAAGGCCCTATAAATTTATGAAAGGAGGCAACCCGGAAACTAAAATTTACTAAATTAGAACTCTAAATGGAATAAAAGAGTAAAAAAGGAAGTCAATGGCATAAATTATAATTAATTAGATACTAAATGTCTCATCACCACATAGATAAATCAATCATACAAGTTCTCATATTTTGAAAATATTGCAGAATAGTTTTGTTATGATACTTCTAAATTATCTCTCGCAATGTTGCACACTGAGCACTCCGTAGAAACTCATATCCCTTCTTATTGTGGAGATCTTCACAATATTGATCACAGAGAAGGCTCTTCTAGCCGTGGTTGTTGCAAATAGTAACACAGTTGTTACAACTAGCACTCTAAGCTCAATCATGTTTTTCCAAACTTCAATTATACTTTGTGAGACACATAAGATGCTTTATTTGTTGTCATTTCATATATCCACACCCATATATAGTTATTCTTTAAGCTCCATTTCATCAACACTATTGAAAAATCACATGAATACAAGTGTATAACTCATCAAGACTCGATAGTTTTAACTCATAAAAGTTGTAGAACTAATCTTTAGGATCAAAACATGCTAAACATGTCAGTACTTTTGTATTTGACCCAATAAAGTGTTTCTTCATCTCAAGACTAATTTGATCAATAACCTTCAAAGACGATGATGACAAACTTGTCTAGAACAGTGATTTGCATCTTCCATGTTAGGAATGTAAGACTTTGTTCCTAACACAAAAGCTATTTTCTTTCAAATTTTCAGATTTTTCTCTTGTGCTCTTAAGTAAGCTCACACCTCAATAATATTTTGTTCTTTTCATTGCAAGAAATGTGAAACATATTCATCAATCACGATACTTTCTTCTTTAAGTAAGCAATAACACAAATTGACGACTCCTTATCTTTTCTACTAAGCTACTAGAAATGTCTCATGATTTTACATCATCAAATATATTTTCAAGAACTTGATTGGCAGGAGACCACATACAAAGAGCACGAACAATGGTTTTATAATATAAACTCCAACATGTAATTCTTGGATGAGCTAAATTAATCTCTTGATTCAATCATCTTCACTCTTTTCTAACGTCTCTACCAATGGTTTCATGTTATTTTTATAGGCCCCCACCTCAGTCATCCACTGAATCTATCAGTACCTTTTTATATTATGTCTATACCATCACTAATAATTCCATATTTAGTGTCTGTTTGGTTACATCGAAACTGGCTTAAATGGATGAATCTGGTGCAATTGGTGAAATTATGACTAAATTGACTAGATTCGCTGAATTATAAAAAAAATCTAGTTAAACAATTTCAGTCAATTCAGTCAGAAAAGTAATTATGAGAAATCAAAACATTGGCTGATGTAATGAGAATATGTGTTATCTAACGGACTATTATTATGCATCAATGTGCATCATTGTAGAAAGATTTAAACATGTTTCATTTGTATATAAATATATAGATCATGTCATTTTGCTCTACGTCCGGTGTAATATTCACTATAGAAGCAGTGTCTCCCTCA